GGGGTATCCACAATCTGAAGGAGGTCCAAGATGGCGAATCGCTCTTCTCAAAAACTTTTTGTGCAACGGAACCTGACTCATCCACAAATTCGCATTTTCTTGGCTCATAGTTGCCTTTTCACACCATCCAGCAATGAAAGCCGTAAAAATTATGAAAATTCTTCGAAAAATGGGAAAACAAAGTGTTCGGTAACTGTGCAGGACTCTATGTTTAACCAGGGAGATCTCCAGGAAATGCCCAGCTTTCTCGAAACGGTTTTTGCATGATATAGAGGTACGTGCATGGAACACAGAACTGTGGTTCATTTTTCCTGAGCGACCCTCTGAATACCAAAAAAGGAGCGAAGAAAAATTCTTAAGGAACTGCCGTTCTTAACTTTCTTCACCAGTTTTTTAGCCAAAGTCTACGTATAAAGGTTGCTGATGGTCCTAATTATAGATATGACATAAGTTGTTTCCGCTGACGCTATTTTTCGCGAATTTTGAAACGCCAACACAAAATGCAAAAAATTGTCACTGCGAGGATTCGAACCACGGACCACTTCATCACCCCTTTTTTGGTATTCAGAGGGCCGCTCAGGAAAAATGAACTACAGTTCTGTGTTCCATGCATGTACCCCTATATCATGCAAAAAACCGTTTTGAGAAAGCTGGGCATTTCCTGAAAGACCTTCCTCGTAAGGGGGTATAAGCGTAATTCTCTTAAACTATTACACTAAAATGTATCACCTTAGGTGTAGTAAGTGAAGGAAAAAAGTTTAAGTTTTGGAAAGTCCTCTTCCAGAGTGAGCCATGCACTCGATTGCTATTATATTTAGAATCCTAGCGACATTTGAATGCGTATTTTGGCTCTGGATTGAGTAACGAAAGGTCCATCGGGGCAGGGTGGGATTTGATTCGGAGCTCAAACCTTGCGCTTGGGTGCAGTGAAGGGCTACATATACCAATAGAAATCGCCCCTGAGTAACAGAATGTCTACAAGGAAATAGCAAAAGAACGGATCCCGTATCAACCAATGCTGTAGGTGAGTCTAATGTGATCCAGAGTCCAGAAAAAACGAATGCATATTTTCCGTATGTAAGGTTTGACGTTATAAATTACTCCGATGCACACTATTTTTTGAGGGATTCAGTGTCGTTCGAAACGAGCAGGACTTAATCTCTATAAATCGGGAAAATCCTTTCAGTATCGCTTGGGTTGATAAACATAGTGAACTGTACATCGCATAACAGCATCAGTTCCTTGTCTAGCCCTAATGCTGTTACCTTCAGCTAGTAACCCTCGGTGTGATTATTGAAGATAAGATGGGATTTGCTAATATGGATAGAAGGATAAATCGGTGTTTGATCAGTCCTAATCCAGGATGTGCCGCGCACTCTGCTTCCATTTTCTATCGTAGTTGTATTATGGAATGCGATTTGGCCTATACAATGACTTGCGGGGGCCAGCCGATGTGCAAGTCAGTGTTTTTATCCTCCCAGACAAGTCTGGTACCAATTAACCGACCCCGGAGGGATGGAAGGATTGCTCGGCTTGGGAAGTGCACGACATACGGTACCCGCCGTAAAAACTCAAAAATTCACGCGAAAAACGCGGGTATAACTCGGTGCAAAGTTGAGCTTTCCAAAATCTGAATAACAATGTTGAGTTCAGCTCGTTGAGTTCTATAAGAATCCGTCCTAAGTTTTCTAGAGGCACTATCCTGGATTGCGCCATGCACTCAATTTTCATCTCAAAAAGTAGTTGCTCGCATGTGATGTGTATATAATCCCGCTTATGCGAACTGACCGCTTCAAAACGAAATAAAGATCTAAGAATTCGGAAAATAACATTCATCTAATCTCACAATGTAGTGGATGAGATTGAGTACGTGGCGCATTCTGGGGTAAGTTTTGAGGCCCTTCTTTGTGTGTAGCGGTCAGCCCGCATAAGCGGGATTATATACACATCACATGCGAGCAACTACTTTTTGAGATGAAAATCGAGTGCATGGCGCAATCCGAATGGTGCCAAAAACTTTAGAACTTTTCTTATAGAACTCGACGAGCTGAGTTCAACAGTTTTCGGATTTTGAAAAGCTCAATTTTGAACCGAGTTATAACAGAAAAAACGAAAAAAGGCGAAATCGCGTTTTTCGCGTGAAATTTTTGAGGTTTTACGGCGAGTACCGTAAGATTTCATCTTCTCACCGTCTGCGCGGTAAGCAGCGCCACTTGCCAATACACCACTTCCGCCCATAGCAAATATAATAAAGCAAGCAAAATATGAATAATCACTCACCGTTAACTACTCTCCTAACATTGGAGACATCGGCTTCAATTGTCTGAAGAGATAGAACCAATGTAGTGAGTATCATTCCCAGACTGCATAATCGCAGCAACATTATGATTACCTGTAAACAAAGTATTGTTTACCGCCTTTGTTGGAAGTTGCTTTCATCGGATTTGCAAGCGATAATTCCAATAAATTCAATAGACAAATAAAGAATGCCCTCAGGCCGCTCAATGCCAATCATACTCAACGTTTCAAGAGATTCGGAGGTTCAGCTGACCATGAAAAGACTAAATACGCGTTGATCGGAAGAATAGGAGAATGGCACCTTTGGAATTCTCTGGGTCGGATCAATCAATGCCCATATAATTTTCACCTGCACCTCCTGATCTTCTGATCTTTTTATTTCCCACTTTCCTATTCTGGAAATCGGTTCCTTGAAATCTCAGTCCCTAAATTCTCGGATAGAATCAGTGAAGCTTTTGTGAAAAAGGTTAGTAGTAGACTAAGGAGTTA